GGTTGTCTTTTCCATTGGTGATGTGTATAAAGATCAGATCTTCTGTGATGTTGTACCCATGGATGCTTGTCATTTACTTTTAGGACGCCTTTGGGAGTTTGACAGACGGATTCAACATGACGGATTCCTCAATACATACTCATTCCGCTTCAATAATCGTGCTTTCACCTTACGGCCTTCACTACCAGCTCCGCTTACACCAGTTTCTAACCCGATTCTGGTGCTGCAACGACAACCTTTCGAGTTCTCTATGCGTGATTCATGTCATTTGTTGGTCCTTGTTGCTGTAGCTCCCCAGCCGCTAGTGTCTCCTTGTGTGCCCCCTGAGTTTGCGTCTTTATTACAAGAATTTGCTGACGTCTTCCCTGAGGATTTACCACCAGGTCTACCCCCTCTTAGAGACATTCAACATCGTATTGATCTCGTCTCAGATGCAGCTTTGCCTAACCGCTCCCATTATCGCATGAGTCCAAGCGAACACGAAGAGCTTCGCAAGCAAGTGGAAGAGTTGGTCTCTAAAGGTTTCCTGCGTGAGTGCTTGAGTCCGTGTGCAGTTTCGGCATTGTTAATCCCTAAGAAAGATGGAAGTTGGCGTATGTGTGTCGATAGTCGCGCTATCAACAAGATCACAGTCCGATATCGCTTTCCCATTCCCCGTTTGGATGACTTATTGGACCAAATTGGGACATCTTCGGTGTTTTTTAAACTGGATTTAAAAAACGGTTACCATCAAATACGTATTCGCCCGGGCGATGAGTGGAAAACCGTATTTAAAACACGCGAAGGATTGTTTGAATGGCTCGTGATGCCCTTTGACTTGTCGAATGCTCCAAGTACGTTCATGCGGGTTATGAATCAAGCGCTTCGACCTTTCATTGGTAAGTTATGACATCCTGATTTTCAGCACTTCTTTGACAGATCATATTCAGCACTTACGTGACGTCCTCTTAGTGCTACGCCGTGATCAGCTCTTTGCAACCTTAAAGAAGTGCGAATTTGGCTCGCCTCAGGTTCACTTTCTAGGCTATATTGTCTCTTCTGGTGGTTTGGCAGTGGACTCTAGTAAAGTGGCCGCTATTCAGTCTTGGCCCCAGCCGTCAACTCTTTCGGAGGCTAGAAGTTTTCATGGTTTGGCATCTTTTTATCGCCGTTTTATCCCGCAGTTTAGCACACTGATGGCTCCTATCACAGATTGTCTTAAACATACGGGAGCCTTCGTATGGAATGTTGATGCTGTTCGCGCTTTCAAAATCATTAAACAGAAGTTGAGTTCAGCTCCGATTTTAGCTCTTCCAGATTTCACCCTTGTCTTCGAATTGCATTGTGATGCATCTAAGCTTGGTATCGGTGCTGTTCTGAGCCAAAAGAGACGTCTGATTGCATTCTTTAGTGAGAAGTTAGCAGGCGCACGGTCACGCTATAACACTTACAATGTGGAATTTTATGCTGTGGTTCAAGCAATTAAGCACTGGCGTCATTACCTGTTTCACAAAGAGTTTGTCCTCTTTACGGATCATGATGCGCTAAAACACTTGAACAGCCAAAATAAAGTGTCTTCTCGTCATGCATCTTGGGTTGCGTATCTGCAGCAATTCACTTTCGTCATCAAACACACCTCTGGTGCTTCCAACCGTGTTGCTGATGCTCTAAGCCGCCGCCATTCTCTTCTTGCTGTCCTTAATGTCTCGGTTCCTGGCTTTTCATCTTTTGCTGCCTTGTATCCTACTGATGCATTCTTTGGGAGGATTTATAACGATACTAAGGCTGGTTTGTCATCTGATTTTACTTTACATGATGACTTTCTGTTTCGTAATGATCGCTTGTGTGTCCCAGATTGTAGTCTACGGTTACAACTTATTGCGGAGTTACATAACGAAGGCCATGTGGGGCGTGATCGTACTCTTCAGCTCGTTTCTACATCCTACTTTTGGCTTACTCTGCGTCGCGACATCGAGCGTTTCGTCGAGCGCTGCGTTACATGTCAAATATCCAAGGGACATACGTCTAACGCTGGCCTTTACATTCCATTGCATATCCTAACTCAGCCATGGACGGACGTTAGTATGGACTTTGTGATGGGACTTCCTCGAACACAGAAAGGGTTTGATTCTATCTTCGTGGTCGTTGATCGTTTTTCTAAAATGGTCCATTTTATTCCGTGTAAACGTACAACCGATGCTGTTCAAGTTGCTGTGCTCTTCTTTCGAGAGGTATATCGTTTGCATGGTCTCCCTTCTTCCATTGTATCGGATCAAGATTCTCGGTTTCTTGGCCACTTCTGGCGTTCTTTGTGGAAGCTTTTGGGTACTACTCTTGATATGAGTTCAGCTTATCACCCGCAAAGTGATGGCCAAACAGAAGTTACCAATCGCTCTTTGGGCAATCTTTTGCGTTGTCTTGTGGGTGATGCGATCAAGACGTGGGATTCAAAGTTACCTCAGGCCGATTTTGCTCACAATCATGCACACAACCGTAGCTCGGGCTTTAGTCCTTTCCAGGTTATATATGGTATGCTTCCGCGAGTGCCGCTTGATCTTACTACTCTCCCTGATCGTACTCGTTGTCATGGGATTGCTTCTGATTTCGTGGGTGATCTCGCTCGCATTCATGACGAAACAAAGCAGCATCTTGAAGCCTCCACTGTTAAGTACAAAACCGCCGTTGATGCCTATCGTCGTCGTCTCGTTGTTGAGGTTGGTGACCTCGTTTGGGTGTTCCTTACTAAGGACCGAATGCCTTCCCATGCCTACAACAAGCTTAAAGATAAGAAGATTGGCCTTATTGAAGTTATTGAGCGCATCAACGATAATGCTTATCGCCTTCGTCTCCCAGCTGATATCAACACTTCTGATGTCTTCAATGTCCGCTACCTTTCTCGCTACATTCCACCTGACTTACCTTCCGATTCGGGGTCGAATCCTTCTAACCCGCCGGGACCTGATGCAGCTGCATCCATTGATACCGTGGCTTAAACCCCACGCACTTTATCTATCATTTATGTTCTTTAATCATTTATGGGTTTTCTTTTGTTTCAAGATATCATACTCTGTTTTTGGGCTTTCGGGTTAATCTCTTTCAAAGTCGGTTGTGACTTCGAAGAGTTACTTATTTAAGTTGTTGTCTTTCCTCTTTATGACGGAGCTTTTTGAATAATAAGAAAATGAGTTTTACTCAAACCCTAGCATTCGATATCTCTTGAGATCGTTTCTTAGGAAGCAGGTCCTGAAAGTTCTTCGAACCTTCAGTTGAGCTGAAACCTAGCTTTGTACACTGCGCCAGAAGCCCAAGTTGTTAGAAACGGCGGCATCGATTTGGGTTCTGCCTTCTCAACAAGAGCACACAGGTCGTCTTTTTCTATGTCTTTGGCAGGCTAAAACGAGTTCAATGAATGATAAATCCATTGTGGGCGGTGTGATAGTTTTTCCCAACTCACGTCATCACCAATTACTAAAGTGTGTGTGTGTGTTGCTAAGTCGGACGTGGTTTCTCTAAATGTGATCTCTTATGGTTGTCTTCTTATGGGCCAATTCAAACCGGAGCTTGGAGTAGTTCGGAGTTTTGTTTGTGTAATTGCGTTGTCTCCACTTCTCCTGGGACGTGATTTATGGGCTTATGTTCTCTCTAGAAGTAATGTAGTTACGTTTCCATGTTCACAATGGATAATTGGACCAATGGGTTCTCTTCTTTTGATATATACGACGGAACAGTGGGCATTATTTTCTCTCCGTCCATTCGAATTGGGGTCCTCCTATAGCATTTGTGTAGAAGGAAGCGTAAGATCACCATCATGTGGGATGTTCTCTTCAATTATATGGTGTTTCACGTAAGGGTTTCCATACACTTTCATGATGTGCAGCTTGGAGACGTCAAAAATTTCTGGTGCTTCGTCTCTTTTGCTTGCTTTATTGTGTCTTATTCTTACAAGCGTGTGCTTTGTGTGCTAACAATGATCTCTCTCTCATCTCGTCACGACCTGGGTTGCAACGTGACTCTTTTACAATAAAACGTGTTGTCATGCGAATCACGCAAGTAGAGTTCTTTGATGACATTTCTGCAGCAACCGGTGAAAATGAGGCGGATTTGGTGTCCAATATGATGGTTGGTGTTCACTTACCAACACCTAAGTTACGTTACCGTAAGTGTAAAAACATGTGTGCGTGGGTGTTTGTTCCTGTTGTTGGTGGAATAATTCATCAATTTCATAAATTTTTGGATGGTACGTAAATGCGTTTCCAGCCTATGCATCAGCTTGGGTGATTTGACAATGGCGCAAATTCGAGGACGAATCTTTTCTTACCTTACCTGGGAAGACAATCACAACCTCAAAAGGCTTTTATCGTGTTAGCTTTATAACTTTACTTTTCAATTAAATTATGTTGTTGGGATTTATGTATATTATGCTTTTAACTGATTTACGTTAGGGTTTCTTTAAGCTTTTCTTATTTAAGTAGACGTGAGAATTATTTGTAAAACAGCTTTTGATTATTGAATAAACATAGAATTTTTCAGTTTGTTACCTTGTTATCGTATTCTTAACGGTTACTACAAACCCTAGTTTCTGGGTATTCTCAAAATCAGCTGATCTAATTCTATACATAGTAGTTTCTGCTCCATTGAGCAGAACGTTATTACTTACAACACGATAATTAAGATATATGGGAAGACTATGGAGCATGAAAAGGCCATGAATCTCGTTCAAGAGATGCAGAGCAGAGGAATCGATCCTAATGCCATTACCTACTCGACGATCATATATATATGGGAAAAGCCGGGAAATTAGACCGAGCAGCGATGCTGTTTCAGAAGCTGAGGAGCTCTGGTGTTGAAATTGATCAGGTTCTGTATCAAACAATGATTGTGGCTTATGAAATAATTGGTCTAATGGTTCATGCGAAGTGTCAGCTTCAAGAGCTAAAGTGGTACAATCATTCAGAATGATCTTCTGCATCAATAACCGGAGGATACTTTTACCGTTCCTCAACTGATCCGTGCTTGTATGGAATGTACTTTTCGCGCTTTTACTCTTCTCTTTACTTATTAAAACCAATATTGTATAAATCAAGAACGTTTCTTTTGTTCTTTTAAGTATATCTTCAGACTTATACGCTGGAGTTATTTACAGTGGAGCTGAAACTCCAGTGGGTAGTGAAAACTTCACGAGCTCTCATGGTCCCTTAAGATGCGCCTCGGATTCGCTTGTCCCATGTTTATCTGAAACATAGCCTTCTTCTTCATCTCCACCACTTGGGTTTGTGTTCTCCTTTGGAGAAGACAAAAAAAAAGACATTTTCTTACTTGCAAGCTCTGGTGTTTATAGAATCGTTCGCTCGAGCCGCTGTAACTTCCATTGCCCTCTTGAAAACAAAACTTCAATAGCTCCTTCGCAACAGCCTGATTGTTCTCCACACACTGTTGTAATTAAACTAAATCGAACCACTACTTCTCCTTAAACAATCACAATATCCCAAATTCAACTCATAAATTCACAGCATTGTCCAATAACCATCCTTGTTAAACTTTATTAGCAGTCTAAATATTCAGAAATTTTCTAATTGCTTGTATTCTACATTCTTGGATTCAACTTGTGAACAATCCTGGTCTAGTGTTTTGTCTCTTGAACTTCAGAAACAACCAACAAACTGCATGCTTCTATTTACTTAGTTATTCTGAATTACATTCACTTGTTTTGACTTAGCATAATCTGAATATAAATTCTGTAGAGTAGTAGTTTACTCTCTTGGGATCGATAACTATTTGTGCTACAACTGCATTGATGTGCATTTGCAGTACTACTACAAATTTGATAAAACTAGACCCCTATCACATAACTACAAACCCGAGCAGGAACTCGCTAGACAAGCCACTGAAGAGAAAAAATCTGATGCCTCCAAGAAAACACGAGCATAACTAAAATCAGATCTAGAGCCACCGCCTTGAAATCTCCGAGAACTAGAAACCGAGGAGGAATCAAAGGACAGAGGAGGCCCCATTTCTGGTGGCGGTGAGAGACACTGGAAAAGAAGAGAAATCCTATACCGAGAAAGAGCCAGAGTCATGAGAGCAGCCACATCACCTAGAACCGCAAGATGCGGAGAGGAAGAGGAAGAAGTACCCAGACAGAAGCAAGAGTATGCAACACCCAGGACAAACACATACCACAACAGGAGCCAGAACCAGAGGCTACGAAGACTAAATTTGGAGAACATAAACGGAGAGAAAACACTAACCAGAGCCGGGGAGGCAAAGGCATAGAAATAGAGCAACAACTATAAGAAACCAAGACCCTGGCACACTACAGTAGGAATAAATAGAGGAGGAAGATAGGAGGAGGAGGAGCAAGGAACCAAAACTGAAGTCGGCCTCGAGTTTAGCAAAATTGATACAAAAACTCGCAACCCAACAAATGACCTTGACATAACTGCAACCTGATCATGAACTCACTAAACCACCAAAGAGAAAAAATCTGACGCCTCCAAGAAATCAGGAGCATAGCTATAACCAGATCTAGCTGCCTTGAAATCTTTGAGAATAAGAAACCGATAAGGAATTCAAGGACAGAGGAGGTCCCTTTTTTGGTGGTGGTGAGGAACACCGGAAAAGAAGAGGAATCTTACACTGAGAAGGAGCCAGAGCCACAAGAGGCAGGAGCCACATCACTTAGAACCGCAAGATACGGAGAGGAAGAGGAAGAAGCACCCAAACAGAAGCAAGAAGACATAACACCTATGTCAAACACATACCACAACAGAAGCCAGAAGCAGAGCCTACAAAGACTAAATCCGGAGAACATAAACGGAGAGAAAACACTAAGCAGAACCAGAGAGGCAATGGGCACATAAATAAAGCAACAACTAGCAGAAACCAAGACCCTGGCGTGCTACAATAGGAAGACAGAGAGGAGGAAGATATAAGGAGGAGGAGCAAGCACCAAAACTGAAGTTATCCTCGAGTTTAGCAAAATTGAGAACAGAACTCGCAACCCAACAACGACTGTGACATAACTGCAAACCCGAGCAGGAACTCGCTAGAGAAGTCAGCAAAGAAAAAAAATCCGACATCTCCCAGCAATCACAAGGAGAGCTAAAACTAGATCTAGAGACACTGCACGTCAGAAAGAGAGATCGGAAATTGCTAAGGCTAGAATTTAAGAAAAGAGAGCCGAGAACAATGAGTGTGTTTTTTTAATAGATAAATTTTGAGTTAAAAAAATGGTCCCATGTTTTTTCCTTATAATCTTTTTTAAATCTTTGTAAAAATAAATTACCGCATGTTTTTTTTTAATAATGGTTTCAACAGCTTGCAAATTTGCTTTATGGTTTTTCCTTATATTTTAAATTTTTTTTTATTGTCTATTTCCCTCTAGAGACATTGCACGGAAAGGGAGATCAGAAATTACTAAGGCTAGAATTTAAGAAAAGAGAGCTGAGAACAATGAGTGTGTTTTTTTAATAGATAAATTTTGAGTTAAAAAAATGGTCCCATATTTTTTCCTTATAATCTTTTTAAAATTTTTGTAAAATGAAATTGTAATCGTTGCCCCATGTTTTTTTTTTAATAATGGTTTTAACAGCTTGCAGGTTCGCTTGATGGTTTTTCCTTATATTTTAGTTTTTTTTTTTTGTCTATTTCCCTCTTTTGGACTACGTGTCAGAGGATTGTTCTTTATGTCTGTCAGCTATGTTTCCTCATATGGCTGAGACTTTTTTTTTATTTGGGCCAACATTTTATTCTAATTAGGTTAAGCTGAAATTACAAGTTGAGAATCCCATGCCAAAAAGTCTGAGTTACAAACAGGCGACGCTAAAACGTAATTAAAGTACATAATAATGTAAGCATAAGATAGGAGATTACAAGCATAGATAGTAATCAAAAGCACCTGCAAGAGGGCTAGTTTTTCAACCAACAAAGGTGAAAGAAATAAACTTTTAGCTTATAATGTTGGGAAGACTGAGCGTTTGATGATGTTCTTCATAAAGGAGAAAGAGGAGATCAGAGATACATCAGTAAATTGGCAGTACTCCAGAATATCAATTGTGGGTGTGGAGATATGCCAGTAAGCTAGCAGTACTCCTGAATCCAAGTCGGTAACTTCCCCCAAAATTCTTTAGCTCTGGCATATTTGACAATATGCTTTAAATAACATAGGTTGAGAAAAATATGAAATCTTACCAGACCCATAAGTTGCAAAATGAATGGCTTGTCTCAAAATCCAAACAATAGATGTGGGCCAAGCCCAAGACAGAAGAAGAACAACAAAATGTGAAGATTGGCTTTTCGATGATGTAGGTCGGGGACTCGCCGGAGGAAGCACCTTCGGTAAAGGCAGTGAAACTCAATGTTGGCCTCATGTAGATCTGAACTTCGGAGAAGCCCATCGTAGCTCCACAAGGCTGGCGAGGGAGAAACAGTGTAGACAGAATGAAACTTTGGAGCAGTTGTCAGTGACAAAGCTGCAGCGGAAACAGATTGGGAATATCGAAAAAAGCAGTAAGAGGAGAATAGTGGAGACAAAAGTCAGCAAAGGAGCTGGATCTTGGGGATCTAAAGGTTATGGTGGTTGCAAATACAATTGCAAGTCTGGGAAAGTTGCTGCCGATAGTTGAGACGGTGTAAAGCTTCAATCTGAGGGACGCATCATACCGGCTGCGCAGATCAAAGATGCTCCGCACTGTTTAATCATTGCGCTGAGGGGGGATGAGTACTAGTGCTGAAAACGAAGTAACCTCACCGGAGATAACCAAAACAGGAGGAAGATTGGTGGATTATGATTTCGACTAACCCCGAGAGAGAGGAGACGACGCTAGTCAGGCGGACTTGCCGAAAAAACGCTGCTGAAGGAGACTCAAAACTTCACGGCAGAGGCGGCTGCATCGAAAGTTGGGCTGAGGCTCTTTCCGCCTGATTAGGGCTAATTTCAACCCAAACTAACCCTGTCATGTTCTTTCCTACCTGAACTTATACATAGTGCGTTTTTCTAATTCAATTACATATAAAATTCCAATAACATACCCTGACTATCTATGTCGTGCCAAAATCCATATTAACTATATTCCCGTTAGTTGAACGTTAACACATGCTGACTCGGATGGACGGAGATGCCAACGAGGTTTAGCGGGAAAATGGCCAATTTTAACCCAAACTAAACATGTCATGCACTTTCTTACCTGAACTTATACAAAGTGCGTTTTCCTACCCAGACACCATATAAATTTCAAATTACCTACCCCAACTATCTATTTCGTGCCAAAATCCATATTGACCATAACAACATTAGTCAAACGTTAATTCCGGCTGGGTCACTTGACATGTAAGCAGTGGAAATTTGCTCGATTAATCCTGGATTGAGCTAGTCCAACTAACAGGAGAAGCTTCATATTAACCATAACAACGTTAGTCAAACGTTAGATCTGAACATAAGGTTTTTCATTTGGTGGCGCCTCCATCCGGACAATCCTTGCTTCAAACTCTTGTCGCATGGTTCTCATCTGTTGGCCCATGTTCCTTATATCTTTTCCCATGACCGTCTGTATTTGCGCTATTGCATCTTGGGGAACACTTTCTCCACCAGTCATCTTGCTCTCGGTAGTATGAGCCTTGTAATACTTAGCAAACAGGTAACAATGTCAAAAAAATAAAAAGAAACAGACCCTACTCGAATGAAATCAACTAAGGGTTTTAAGCAACTCAAGCCAAGAACAAATCGTCTAAATACAAATTAGAGAATTCAAAGGAAATTTAACAATCTTTTTTTATGCTTTTATGAATAAGCAAAAAAATACATTAAATACATTATGTTCGAGGATCCAATTAACAGGAGAAGCTTCATCAAAGAGTGCTTAAAAACTTCAAACTAGCCACATTAATATTATAATCCATCATACACTTTAAAGAAAAACAAAAGCATAGAGTTATAATATTGAATCATGTGACACGTAAACAACAACGTTTGCAATGATGAAAAATCAGAATTTGATCACATTAGTCAAAAACATACATAATATTCAAAACATAAAAATATTATAAACATAGAAATCTTACAAACACTTAGTCTTGAACATGAGAATCTTATCATTACCATTAATCGATTAAACGTCGTCGCTTACGTGTCACGTGACTCAGCTGAAGTTAATGTTTAGCTAACGCTGTTATGGTTAATATAGATTTTGGCACGAAATACATAGATGAAATAGGTAATTTGAATTTTATATGGGGTTTGGGTAGGAAAATGCATTGTGTAATAAGTTCAGGTAGGAAAGAGAACACAGATTTAGTTTGGGTTGAAATTGGCTCTTTTCTCGCCAAACTTCATTGACATACTAGGATCTCCACCTATTTGAGTCAGCAGGTGTTAGTGGTCAACTAATAGAAATATGGTTAATATGGATTTTGGCACGAAATAGATAGTTCGGGTAAATAATTTAAATTTTATATAGGATTCGAATAGAAAAATACACTGTATATAAGTTTAGGTAGAAAATAACACGACATAAATAGTTTAAGTCGAAGTTGGCATTTTTCCGCTTTTTGTATATCTATTTATATTGTTAAAACTTTTTCACTTTTTAAAAAAATTTCAGATATCAAAAAAAAATAAATTAAAACATTATAATAATGTGGGCTTTTTTTGTCATTTCTTTGATTAAACCCAAAAGATAATAAACTTCACAAGGGGTAGAGCAAGTTACAATTACATCTCTAATAGTCCTAATAATGTAAAGAAAGCCCAACTAATACATACCTGACATCCAAAATCACTTGTTTGAACATGAAAAACCTAATTATCAAAGCATGGACACGTGAATGGAAAAGAGATAAAATCAGCCGCTTGGATTCCTACACCGCCGATGATGAACACCACCAACGATGAACACCGCCGAAGACTAACACCAAAATTCAATGACGTCGAAACTGCTGGAGAAAAAGAGCTGCACTATCCTTTTGCTTTTGGTCGCCAAAGAGATTGAAAAGTCGTACTTTAGCCATCAGAAGATGAACCACCAGCGAAATAGAAACACACACCGGACGACCATAAATGTGCCAGCTTTTCTTACTCTGATCTAGATCACCGAATAATATCCTAAACTTGAGTGAGAGAAATTTTACAACCAGAAACCGAAATCTATCGGATTTACTTCCTCAAAAGAAATAATCTGATGAAAAGGAGACTTTCAACCAGCTACCAGAATTCACATCTAAAAAACAAGCAAAAAAGAAAACAAAACAACATCCGATAAACAGAAATTATTTGTCCGACAAAGCGGAATCATAGGTCCGACAGAGCGGAAGACATATTACAAATTTTAGATTGGAAAGAATATACACAGCATGGCACCAATATTGGATTTATGTCGACCACCGGCCAAAAAAGAAACTCAGATCTGGGTAGTTTTGTTCTAAGGCTGCATAATAAAATTTGGTTATTTTGAAGATTTTGATTATTTCAGATTAAGCAATACTAATTTATTTATTTCGAATTATAAGTTTGGTTATTTTGGTTACTTGACTTCAATTGTTTACTAAATTTAGATACAAAATAAGTATGATTTGATTTGAAATAAAAAACAACTCTTGTACAACCTCATTTGAGGAGTTAAGAGAGTAACAATTAACATTTTCATGCTACAACAAATGATAGGAAAAAAATATATATTTAATTATGTATAAATGTATAAAAAACATCTCAGCAAATATTAGAATATAACTGGGTAAGACAATTATTATATTATGTGTGTTTTATTGTTTTGGTCAATATGTAGTTTTCTTTTGACTATAAATATAAGTAAATGAATTGAAAATTTATGTTATTTTCAACTTTTTTTGTTAAGTTATCTTTTCAAATTTGACTATGAAAATTACCTTTTATGAACGTTTGTATTACTATATATATAGCCAATCTAAATAAAGGAAAACTCATAAAAAGAAAACTTTGAAAATTATCATAAAAATGAATTTTAGCATGAAAACTTTAGTTACATTTGTTTTCAGTATCCTTTCAATTGTATCTTTTGTTCATTGCCATCCAAAAATTACTAATACTCTAGGTACTCACTTTTTTTTATACCCTACTTTTTAATTATGTAAATAATTTTCTTTCTAATGCACATATTGGTTTGATGAACTTTTGGATATTATATATAGGTTATGGAATAAAGGCAAGTCGTACTCTATGTTTCTATGGAGACAAATCATGTTATTTTGCAGGAAATTATGGCTGTGCTCGATTTTGTGACAGACATGGTTTTATAACTGGAAATTGTAAACCAGAGGGTAATGTAAATATATGTTGTTGTTTTGATCCATTTGATAATATGGGTCCAAAATAAAATATAATAATAATTGTTTGAAAAACATATCTTTGTTTCCATATGTTTTAAATATTTGAATGTTTGTATACAAAATTTGGACTGAAATAGATAATATAACAAAATCAAAGTTAATTTAATCGAATATTAGCAATAATTTTTGTGCAATTTTAAGGAAAAAATCATCTAAAGTATCGATATGTCCAAACAAAATAGATAAGCATCAAAACTTATCAACAATGTTATCGATCAAAAATAAAATGCAAATGCTTTAACCGAAAAAAATTACACTTGAATGACTTTAAACTATAGAGACTATAAATTGGTCTCCAAATGACATTATCTTAAAAGTAAAAAAGAATTTTTTATTCTACAAATTATAAAACTACAAATTATCTATAAATTAAAAATTTATTTCAAATAAGTAATACTGTTGGGACTGATTTTACCGCCCCAAGGGGAACGCAACACCTAGAAATCAAAATTGCCTTAGACACTGACATACGTCATTCTAGCTCGGGCGCCGAACAACTCCCGCGTACTGTTTCCAGGCAATTGGCGACCTTCCCCGAAGACGCGTGAATGATTAGCCCATCTGCTCCTTTGGCTCACCAAATGGAGAGGATATGACATGGAGAAGGCCAATATAAAAGGAGAGAGATCCCCACACAAGAAAGGGAGGAGGAACCCGGCCTAAGGAGATCGACTCTGGGAACCGGATCTAAGGAGAAGAAGCCCAACCGCTTTAAACCCGACCTCCAGTGCCAAACAGCATAATCGAGAGAAAACCTCCTCGTTCCTAGAGATAATGCCTACCAGGATAAATCCCTTCTGAATCTGGAACCCTGCCTTTCTACTCGTTGAATCCCTCTTTCGCATTATAGAATCCTCTTGAAACCCTCGCAAACAGATAGATGTCTCGATCTCCGGACGAGACCTCTCACCCATAGAAACACCCTTAAGTACTTGTTTTCGGTAGGGCGTTCATTGACTTGGGCTTCAGAGAACCTTCGGGACGGAAACCTCCTTTCCGTAGCATTATAGTATATATGTAGCTAGGAAGTTTTAGGGTTTAAAGAAACAATCTTATGTATGATATATATATATATATGTGCATTTATATATATATATATATTGAAATTAAACATTTATATATATAGTTGACTGATCAAAGATATATTTTTGAAATTAAATATTAATATCTATGTATATCTATAAAATAAAAAATATGCTAAGTACATATATTTCACAATTTTGCAAGGAAACCCCATCCCCAATTTTTAAATTACAACTGATTTGCGATGGATAAGACTTTTAATGTCGCTAAGCTGTCACAATGTTTTATTTTTTAAAATCCCCTTGCAAAAATTTCGCGAAGTTTAAAAATATTCAGACCCAAAATTCAAAAAGACCTGCAAAATTGATTCGACCGCCCCCTTTGTGACGTGTTTGCGATGAACCCTAATTGTAATTGATTTACAAATTGGAATTGAAATTTATTAGGTTTTTTATTTGATTTTTAGAGATTGAAATTGTTAGATTTAGGTTATTTTGTATGACTTGTTACTAATATTTAATTTGTTGCAATTTCAGATGTCTGGAAGTGCATATTCTTAGTATGCTTTTCGGTTACTTCTATCGGTTCTAGTTCGCACACGACTCCTACTGCTATTACCGAGACCCAACCCCCTCCACCTCTATCGGTAGGGCGTTCTGCCGTGGATATTGCTCATGATTTGGATATCCGCACTCTTTTGGAGGGTCCCGATCATGACAGACTAATGCGCTTTGTACCAGACCGTCGTCCTAGTATATTATGGTAAAATAAGTTTTCCTTTTATATTTTACTTATAATATAATTTTTTGTTTCATTTTATATAATATGTTTATTTTGCAGGTTTAGTCACGATAGTTTCTTGGGTACTTCTATCCGTGAGATATATTCGAGAGATTTCAAAAGTGCAACTCCTGATATATCATGGTTTTTATGGTTTTTAACCATGATATAAGTCATTTTTATTGAGTCTTTTTGGTCTTTTTAAAGTCCTAGAATTCTTTGCAGGTTATAGCATGTCTGGAGCATAATTGGAGATATTGAAGCTTTTTGGAGCATTGCAAGTTGAAGCCACGAAGTGTCCAGCTCGAGAAGAAAAGTATGCATTTGGGTGACGCTCGTCACCCACCAAAGAAGGAGGTCGTGGCTGTTTATTAAAAGATGGAGCATTATTTTCAGAATTAGCCCAGAAGTTCTATTATTTACAAGAAGGCCCCAGATCGTGTTTAGCCTCTATTTATTAGGTTTTTCAGCCATTGTTGTTTTTTATCTTAGTTTTTGAGAATTCAGAGAGCTGAGAGAGAGATTTGTAGCAGAGCTTTTGGAGAGACAAATCAGACTCCTTCAGAGCAGATTTCGAACTCCTTTATCTTTACTTCTTATTTATTTTATGCAGTCTATTCTTTTCATGATGTTTTCTCAAATCACCATGTCTGAGTAGTTTGTTAGTTAAGTTAGGGCTTTTCAAAGGTTGAAGAAGAGTTTGTAGAATTGCTAAACTTATAGGAAATCTATTGGTTCTTCATTTGTCTTACATTCAGATCGATTTCTTAGACACATCATCTGGATTTCGAAACCCTAGGTTGTTTGATAGATGTGAGAGCATTATTAATCACCTGAACTAGTATTAGATGAGCAAAACGCCCTAGTACAAAAAGATTTGGCTTAGGAGTTTTGTGAACAATTGAACCTGATCATTACTGCATATTTAGATTGTTAGGGTTTGCAAAGAGATTTGAAACTCTGTAATTTAGACATAGATAACTTCTGCAATGAGAATTGATTATTTATATCTTTGCGATTCACATTTAAAACGGTTTTAATTCATTCCTGATTGCATGCATTCTACACTCTCGGATTCAACCTGCGAATTGTCCTCACTTAAAGCCTTTAGCTTTCTGAATTTTAAGAACAATCTCAAAAACGCCCACTTGCTTTTATTAATTTAGTTATTTCGCATTACATTCATTACTTATTATTTAGCTTAATCTGAATCTATAATCGCTATTGTAGTTTATATACTCCCTTGGGATTCAATAACCCCTTGTACTACAACTGCTTTGCTGTGCACTTGCAGTAGTTTTATTTGGGTAAAACCTGAGCCCTATAAAGTTTTTGGCGCCGTTGCCGGGGAGTAATAGCTGCCTATCGATTTTTCGTATTAGGATTTTGTCTATGTTTTAATTTGTTTACTAACTTTCAGTTTCTTTTCTTTGTGCTGGTTTCAGGTGTATGCCTAATCGCAGTACCAGAAGCAACAAGGAGAAGGAGCTTGTGACTTTGAGCATCGACGAACTCGCTAGGTTGGAGAGAACTAACAGGAGCGCTAAGAAGCAATCTACTTAGTTGAAGATGCAGAAGGTCACTTGGTTGACAGAGAAGGAAACAGAAGGAACGAAGAGGGGCAGAGAATTGATCAAGAGGGGAATGTCTCGTTGAACAGCAGGTTCAACAAGTGGATGAGAATGTTGGAGTCCCTGTTGCTGCCAATAACGCTGCTGAGCGTTTTGTTCAGAGGACTCTAGGTGACTACAACAGACCTGGTCAGTTCTATGCCAACAGAGCTGGAATACGCCCTCCTGCCTTCCATAGGAATGATTTTGAGGTTAAACTTGTCTACTATCAGCTGGTTGGCCAGCATCCATTCTATGGCTTACCTCATGAGCATCCTATGGATCACATTGAGAGGTTTGAGGACTTTGCTTCAAGTGTCAAAGCTAATGGTGTTAGCAATGACTTTCTGTTCTGCAAGCTTTTCCCCTACTCTCTTGAAGGAGAATATTCATATTGGCTGAAGCAACTGGAACCTGCTTCACTGACCACTTGGGAAGACACTAAGAATGCCTTTCTGAATAACTTCTATGATGATGCAAGATCAGAAGACATGAGGACAAAAATTGCATCCTTTACACAAGGCCCTACTGAAGCAGCTTATAAGGCTTCTTGGATCAGATTCAAGTCTTATCAAAGGGACTGTCCTCATCATGGTTTCTGTAGCATCCGTATCCGAGAGAATTCGGGATGATCGGACCGGACAAGGCAATGTCCGAGAAATGATTGAGCCAAGGGTCGGATATTGGTTGGGAAATGGAGGTTCAGACTATGGTCGAGTGTTGAGCGGGGAAATAGTAGGATGGTTGGCTGGATAGCCGAGCCGGATGGACCATATCCGAGGGAAACAGGGTCCAGTCTGTGGGAAATGGGGATTTATCCCGGTGCAGTGGGATTTATCCGAGAGTCTGGGAGGTTAGTCCGAGTGTAAGTGGACTGTCTCCGAGGGAAAGAGGAAAACCTCCAAGAGAAATAGAGGATTAGCCGAGGTGGGACAAGTTGTCCGGGAGAAATATGAATATCCGGGTGAAAAATGGAAAACACCTCGGATAAAGGCGGTTTATCCGAGTGGGAAAGGATTTGGGCCGTGGGCCAAGTGTTTGGTCGGCTATTTTGTGGTTTATCGAGGGAATGGTCAAGCCGGTACAGGAAATAGCCGAGAGAATCGAATCGGACCGGGATAAAACCTACTCGAACCAGGAAAACGTCGGATAAGTCCGAGTTACCTAAGGTTTTGCGAGTATATAAGGGATTTTGAGACTTTTCTCGGGAGAGTTGTGTTTATTAGAGAGCAATAAAGCAAAGAAAGAGAATAGTCATGAGAAAACCCTAAGAAAAACAGTTTATCCCGAGGACATCCGAGAGAGATCAGGTTATCGCCGAGCAGATCCGACCATCGCCGAGATAAATTGGTAAGCGATCAGATATTTCCCTAAGTGTTGAGTTTTCATCGGATAACCTCGAGCTAATAGCCTTATTTTGTGGGGTTTCCGAGGATAAACAGAGTTTGGCTCGGAGAAAGGTGAACGGATCGAGAGATAGCCGAAGGGAAAGGGATCGGATCGTACGGACAGCCGAGAGATTCTTAAGGAGATCGGATATCTTCGTTTTGGTGCGAGTTTCATCGAGATTT